GAAATATAATACTGCAATAGATGTTTAGAATCCATAAAATATTTCAACTATAACTAAAGAAAAAATTATAGATTAAAAATCATATTATTTAGCAAGTTTGATAAATTAAAAATTGCAAACTTTTAGTAAATTAAACTGGAACAGAGTGCTGTTTTATAACAAATTGTTAGTAGACTTTATTTTTATACTGTATTTTGTTTTGTAATTTTTTAAAATAATCAAAAGCAGAAAAACAAAAAAATTACAGCAATAATAATTTCTTTAAATAAACTATTCCTTACAATAATATAGGAATATTTACAAAAAAATTAATTAAAAATAATATAATATTTCTTAAATTTACATGTTGTATTTGTAATTGTTATGATAATAAATTGCATGGTTAGCAAAATTCATTTTCGTTCAGATATCGACGACGTGCTTGCGACGAGCTTCTCTCGAGAGCAACTCTCGCGACGTCACCAACAGAAGTGAAATAGAAGCTTATTGACACGCCAGAAAAGGGGGAGGTGGGAGAATGGATTTTCCACGTCTGCAAAAGGTCGGCACTTCGATATCGGACTTGTTACATTCTCCACCGATCGACAAGTTCTCAATTCTACTAATTGAGCCGCCGAATGCAATAAGAAGGTAGAGCCTCTTCTCTTTTTTTCAACTTACTTTCCTTCAACGATTTTGAACATCCTTGGTATTATGCCACCGACAATGACAAGAACGTCGCAGAAAAGAATGAAAAGTTGATAAGAAATGAATTTTTCAATGGATTCATTTGATTTACGACGGGAAAAATAAAATAAAGAACAGTATATTTTTCTATTATTGTAAAAAGAAAGTACTGAGAGAAATGCAACAAAGAAATAAAATATCAATTTATACAAAAACATATTTATTGCATTACGAACAATATAGTTATAGTAAGAGAAATGATTATTTTGTTAAATAATTTTTGCTATATATAATCTATTTTCTCGCAATACTGTTGGAATTAATGTAAACTTTCTACGCGAATTATGAAATATTATTCCCCACGTTAAGAAAATTAACAATGTTTATATTTGATCCTGGCAGTTTAATTATTAATGCTCGCCTGGCAGGGTTGAATGACCGGTTGATATCTTTCTGAAAATTGCGAGAGAGATAACGAACATTTCGATCGAACCACCATCTTGCTCGATCTCGGTATCGCAGATTAAAGGAAAATGGGAACAAGGATAAAGACCGATGATCGAGGAACTTCACCGGCGAGGTTTACTTTTATCGGGAAGAACGACGGATTGAATTTCAATGTTATTACGGATAAAGGAGAACACTATCGCGCAGAAGAGAGACGGTAAGAAAACGAGAGAGACTTTAGAAGAACTTTACGGATTTCTTTGGAATTTGCAGAACCATGTTCGTGACGCGACTCGCGAGAAGTACGATATTATTTGATAGTACCGCTATTCAAAGTTACCATCGATATTTATTAAATATCAGTTCTACGCGCTTTAATCTCCGTAATTTTCATTCTCATTATATATTTTTTTTTACTGTAAACCTGCGAATGATTAATCTATGGAATACATCGCATACAGAACTACTACATCCTTACCGTTTAGTTATATCACTATAACTTTCTCAAGGTTTCATATTCACTACATAGAAATGAATATAAAAGTGTGCCTTGAGGAGATTAATGTTATAATTAAACGGTAAAAAATGTAGTGCCTGCATGTGATATGTGATGTGCTCTTCTTGTACTTGTCTAATTACTTCATAAAGACGCAGAGTCTGCTGCAAAATCGTCCTTTGCACAGTTCGCGCGGATTTACGGAGATACGGTATCCTTGAGCAACTTGAGAGGCCACAATTAACGATCCCGTTAATTTAATTAATGTTTACCATAAAAACCACAGTCGGTTACAGTTAGAGTTAGACTTCATCTAACCGCAAAGGAAAAACGAATATTCCTTGAGACAAGGAATACAAACGAGACAACTCTGCCTGAATTAATGCACAATTATATGTACAATTAATGTGATGTACAGTTTTTTAGTTATACTTACGAATATATGTCATACGTATACAAAATTCTTGAAAAGACATGCACTTTATCCTTTAATGATATAACATACTATAAATTAAATCAAGGAGAAATACTTCTTATGATAATTTCATATATTTAATATATGGAGAAATTTGTTTCAAATTAAAATTTAATGATATTGCTTATTTTAATTTCTCCAATAATTTCTCTTTTAACAAAATTTTAATATATTTAATTGTATAAACATTAAGAATTAAAGCATAAAAAATATTAATAAAATTTCTTTTTGTACGAAAACCAATATCAATTTCAATAAATCGCAATTTTCGATAATATATATATCCTAAATAATAATTATGTATATCATAGACAAATAAATAATTATTTATGTAATAAGCCATTGTATATAATTATATCATGTTACGTATAGATATCATGTTACGTATTCAGTTATCATAAAATATTACTGTGACACGTTTCACTTCTCACGGTTCATTCAGAATTATAATTTCCACAAAAGTTTTATATTTTGACATATTGAAACGAGATAAAAATTCAAAATGCATAGTTTATTTAATATTTTACATAAAATATAAAATTAAACTCAAATAGTTACATTCAGTGCTAGAAATGCGGCTAAAAAGAGAAATAAATCAAAACATCTTTCTCTCTATCAGAAGCCACAAATAATTTCAAAAAAGTAAACGTGGCATGTTAACCTAATTACTATCAATTTATATTAGATAGTCTATTAAAATTTTGCTATTTTAGCTTTTAGCAAAACTAAATCGATCGAGTTGACCCATATATACATTCCTTTTTTGTTCACTTCAAGAATCGTGAAGTGAAGAGAACGGAGTGGCAGTACAGAGCGAGCTAATTCATTTCCACGAAGGAAATTATGTGGCGTTGCATGCGATTGCAGTTGCAACGCGCTCGCCGATGACTTCCGGGAACGTAGTCCGGCGTTTTCCCACGATACTTTCGATCCGGTAATTTTAGCACCAGCGACGCCCGTGTCGTCTCTTTGCGCGATTAATGAGCTAATTTGCACGCGCTGCTTTAATGGCAATTAGTTTATTGACGTTTCGCGAAGACAAATACATCCACGAGCGATTGCTATCGAAAATCAAAGATTTAATATGCGGTTTAATTTATTCGTCCAATTAGTTTAATTAGTTAAAATTAGAAAAAGTTATTCTTTTTATATGCACATTTTATCAATTACTATATATACTATATATTGTATATATACTAATTAATATTTTTACATTGTAACATTACTTTTTTAAATTCTGTCTGGCGATTCTCAAATATCTACGTTTTTATTTTTACATTGTGTAAAAATTGTACAATAAATTCAAATAATCTAATAATTAAAATCTTTATTTAAAATCTTGGTTGAATTAAGAATGACTTCATATCAGATAAAAATTAGAAATATAAAATCTTGGCTAATAGTCGAAGAAATCCCACAAGTGCGTATAAAAAAAACCGAATAGTATATTATATAAATAGAAGTAGACTATATTTATTATTCAAAAAAGTGAAATTTAACAAAATTAATTTATATATAGAAGAGATTATATAATATAAAAATTTTATTCTTTATTTGTTAAAAACTTTTAATGTTAAATTCTTTCTCTTAATTTCAAAATCCTATTATGTATCAAACTTTTTTCTCTTTAAGAAAGCACATGTGTGTATTATATCTTATATTAACTTTACATTAAACAAACTTATCAAACAATATAATAAGATTAAAGTTATCCGAGACTTTTAACTCTAATCTCTTTGAAGTAAAAGAAAATTTTCAAAGATTTTCTGATTACCTAGGGATGTAACGGTCCGATAAATTATCGTCTATGTTTCGTTTATGGATCATAACTTATTGTCTGACACATTGCGGCTGATCTCGAAAGTTTGCAAGCTCCGGCCTCAACGTTAACTCAGCGGAGTTACGATACTAGACTAGAGGGGCTCGTATCTCGGGGTTTAATGGGATTGGGACAAAGTGGCCGCGAAAATTCCGCGGCGAGATAAAACGAGATAGCACGAGGTGCGAGGTGCGCAACTTTTAAAACTACGCTGGGAAACATAATTTACTGTCGATGCTATGTAGCGCGACAATCCTCTCACTTTGTTTCTATGAGTTAATTACGCGCAAACAATTAATTAACCGCTCTATCGGAGCACCGTTTGTCTTCGCGAATATTTCTCCGAAATACACTCTTTCAATTTATTTATCGTTGTTTGGATGTCGCTAATTTTTAACGGTAAGTTAAGTTTTATGAACTCACGTAACTATTCAGTTTAGTGGATTATAAAAAATGCACACTACGACAAAATTAAATATCTATTAACACCAACATTCACGTTCTCTATTTTTAGGACTGATGTTAATTCCTTTTCAAAGTAAATAATATTAAATTTTTATTCATTACAACGCAAAACTGATTTTTAATGTAGTGTAGTTTCATCATGTTGTTAACATTGTAATAAATTTGTGGTGTAATAATAAAATTCCAACTCTCTCGCAAAATGATAATTTCTCATACTAATTTGTTACAACAGCATATAGCGAAATGTCCCATTTATATTTGTTTGTATATGTAAAATTTGATATTAAATATAAATATGTATAAATATGTGATATCACCAAGTTATTATATTGTATATTAATGCGCAGCAAAAATAAATAAGTGAATGAAAGAAAATAAATAAATTTTTAATTCGTTTATTGTCAGAGAGTCGAGATTCTCACAATTAAATTTTCCCTATACACTCTCCAATTCAAAGTAAATATTGATACCATTTTATTACAGTAATGTAAAATTTAATTTTTCCATATTATATATCCAGTCAAACGTATGCAATTCTACTCTTCACAATGTTGCAGTGCGACAAATAAATAACACCGTGTTGGATTAATAAATGGAAAACAAATATAAATAAACTCATTGGGCTCACTTACCGACTCTCCATTTTACACTGGTTCTCTTGAGTCTTACAATTGTTCTTGAAGTCTTTGAGAATCTGACTGCAAGGCTTCCCACGTAAACAAACGCTGAGTGCATGATTGCACGTCGGCAATGCATCCACTGGATATGGATCCTTGTCTGCAAAGATATGCATTCGAGAAATTAAACAAACGATTCCTCGAGACGTTTTGTTAAAGATCGATTTTAAATAAATGAATAATAAATAAATCGAGGCTTGTGACACGCAAAATGTCCATTTCAATGAGCAAGTTAAAATTTAGAGTTAATTTTAACAAAGCAGCCATTCTTCTCTGTATAAAACCACCAGGTTTTCCGAAAGAATATTTTTTCGAGACTCTCTCTCTGCCACTTCCTTTAAATTACTTTCGCGACTTTTATCCTCTCCGTCTAACGAGTCTCCCATTATTCATTCAATCGTTGCAAACTTAATTCTGAAGTCAAGATGGCTAATCTATCTACGTTGACTGTCAATTGTCAGTGCACATTTTGATTTTCAAAAATGGTCATTCTTTCGTGTTTTCCTCTCATCTTTCGTCGAAAACAAAGAAGTAGGTCCGATCACTCTTCTATTTTGTTTTCCTCTTTATTACTGAAATATTCTGTTCTGTATTTGTGGTCCGTAAAATCATATGCGATTGATCGATGATAAACCTAATTTCCTTTTTATATTCGATTTACATCGTCATTTTTCGCAATTTGCTTCTCTTACGCTTGTGATTTATATCAGACATCAAAAATCGAAAAGTCTCTCTGCAAAGATGTTTCTGTAGAGAAATATCGAATTCACTTTTTATCTCTGAGCTTTTTAGTTTTACGTAAAGAAATATATGCACTATCTAGCAATATTATATACGTTCTGCGAAACTAAAGGAAATTCGAGAAAGCCACATTTTTCCGTTTCTGAGAACATATAACAAAAAGTTTCTTCAAATTTTTCCAAACTTTTACAGCTGCGCTTGAGTGTGAAATTGTTCTGACTTTCTTAAAATTTTCTACAATGGCGAACCATTAAAAATGTAAAGTTTTATCCATCACTTGATCCCGGTATTACTTGACACATGGACATACACACATGTACAATTTAGTCTGCGGTTCATGAACCGGATTTTTTTGCGGCCTGCTTCCGCTTCCTTTTTCGAGGCACAGGAGCGAATTTAATCTCATTAAGTGCCGAAGCTTCCTGGTTTCGTAGCCGGAGCCAGGCTACGCTGCGGGGTTTCCATTATCCGCTCCCGTATGACCGGCTTTCGGATAAATGTAATTAAGCCGCGATCCGGAGTGGCCTAATTGCGCAACTTATTACCTCGTCGAATTGTACTCACTCCTCTTTGCTGCAGTTTAGCCGAGTTATAGTTAGCCATCGATCTACGTAACTAAATGATCGATATAAGCTGGTTAAGAGAATGTCTTTTAGAATGTCTTCTGTTCTAATTAATTTAATCAGTGAATATTAAATATTATCGGCATTTGCTAATAAAGTAACGTTTGATACAATTTATTAACTTTGGAGAATATATGCTCATTGTGTTAATTTACACTGATTCACGTCAATGTTATATAAATTAAGAACAAAATCGGATCTCAATATATTTTAATTTGAAGGATATTAAGTAAAACCGTATATTGAAATATAAATTGGTATAATAAATATAAAATTCATATGTATCGATTTCTAGAAGTGTTTGTTTCTAAAAACGACTTTCTGGAAGATGATGATTTTTCCCAAAACGAAGGATGGAAATTGAAAATAAAAAATGACAGACAAAAATAAAAAGGGCATCGTAAAAAAATTATTTGTAACTAATTTGAAAAAGTTCAAAAAACTCGCTGATGTAGACCATATAAACTCTTGGAAAAATCAACATTAAAACTCGCAGAAGCAAAGTTATATAGAATTGCACAGTCCAAAGATTTCGTCAGCCTTTAATTTCGTCTTTAACGAAAACTTCCTAACAATAAGTGACCATGTACCATCAACATTTTACAATTGTATGATAAAATCGCGCACTTGCACTAATTAATTGTTGGCGATCAATTTTTCTGCCTCGACATAGATGTAACTCTAAAAAAGCATTGTAATCGGTATTTTGCGTTAGACAAGCCTCAATTAAAAAATAATTTGAAGTGTGTTTAAAAAGAAATAATATATATTTGTCAATCTTAAACATCATCATCGTACACGATATCAGAAAGTGAAATCAACAATGTGTGTGTATACATATACAGGGTGTCCAATAACTAACAGACCAATGATTAAGGGCGGATTCTCTGGCCAATTTGGAGACGATTTTTCCTTAGCAAAAATGGGTTTTTTGAAAACTAAACGTTTTGGAGTTAAAAGTTTAACATAATTACATTCTTCAGTTAATTTCAGGTAGAGTTTACAGTAATAAAATTTTAATTTGAGGCTTAGTTATAAAGATACATAATGACAAATATTGGAAAGTTGTAAAAAATGATGACTTTTTTCGACATTTTCGCTGAGGAAAAATCGTTCCCAAATTGACCAAAGAATCCATTTGTAATCGTTGGTCCGTTAGTTACCGGACACCTTGTATATGAAACTAAGAATGAACTAACTTCGTTACGCAGTTTATCGCAGATATATGCAGATCTTTACCTTTCCATTCCACGTAGTCGCACGGATGGTCAAACAGGAAGTTCTGGAAGCTGTTGCAGTCCGGATCGACATGCGGCTCCCTGCAGAGGCACGTCGGTCGGAAGTAAGTGAAAGCCTGCAGGGTGCGCAGAGCCGCTTGACACTTAGTCACCGTCACCGTTGAGCAAGCCACTGTAACCGCGAAATTATTATTAAAGCGACGCAGCAATGTTTCGGCCGGGCATGACAAATTGCACGTGCGAATTTTATCACGCGATAACGGTCATCGTGCACGAATCGGCGTGACAGCGTAACGTATAAACTTCATATGACTCTAATGGCGTGCTAAATATAAATCGTTATAATGTTAGAATTTATGCACGCAGAGTGTTTTATCTGTCGAGAGGGGTTATACATACGTTAATGTTCCTAAATTGATATGTATGTACAGGATGATTTTAGATCGCGTATGCGCGCGATCTAAATTCATCCTGTGCATACACGAGCGTGAAAAACTGACAATGCGATAACGTATTCTCGCATAAATATTACTTTCGAGAGAGACTCGGTCCTGGAAATTGTTGTAAAATACTATGATGCGAGATCTCCGCAGAGCGATTAATTCCTCAATAAATGCTGCAATAAAAGCTGTTCTTGTTTGCATCCCTCATTTTCATATTGATCCGATCATTTACGTTATCGAAAATGAAGCGCATGACAATTACGTACGAATGTATAGGTAATATTATATAATGTTAAAATTGTTGTCTTATGGTCATTATCAAAATAAAATTAACAAATATACATATAATATAATAGATAAAAAACAGATCAAATTTCACATAACAATGTTTTAAAATGTTTTTAACATAATAAATTTAATTTAACATTATATTTCCTTTTACATACATATACAAAAATATAAATATAAGTTATATAATATTATCGAGTTTAAGTATAAAGTATGACATATAATTTTCTTTAAATTAAAAATTATAAGCAATTATAAATACAAAAAACAAATATTAAAAATTTAGTAATATTTTATTTAAACATATTATTTAAGCGTAATAATTATAAATTATAATATATTGTATAAAGGTGTCAAGTTATAAAGACCATATAAATACGATATAAATACGATATGGAAATTTCGGATTATATCGAATGTCTGCTACATGTTGAATTTCAAATAATTATGAAATCCAGACAAAAGTAATTATACAATACTCGAGTATTTATCAACAATATAGTGCTATGTTGTAATGTAGCAGCAATAATTATTTGCTATGACACACGTTTGTGTATTAATAGTCCCGCAACTATATATATGCGATGACATTAATATATGCGAGTATTATACACACAATGCGATTTGCTTAGTTTATTTATGAATCGCGTTATGGATTGAAATAAACAAAATGATGTTAATCAAAAATTTTGACTTTATAAATCTATTATTTATTGAAAAGAAAAAAAATATTTGCAATAAAAAATAAAAAAGTCAAAGTATTTTCTTTTTCTCCATATACGTATTTTCTTTCAATATCTAAAAATTTAATATTTACTTGCATTTACAATTATAAATTATTAAATAAATATTTGCAATTTGTGTTGACTTTAATTAAAGACTGATAGATTACGAAAAAAGCTTCATATAAAGATTTGTATAACAGACAAATGATAAACAGATAAGCAGAAATATTGAATTAAATAATTTATTTAACGATTCAAATATTAAAATTCTAAATATAAGTACTATAGTTTAAAATTTTTTTATTACACCTCCAGAAGTTGGAAATTTAGGGTAGCTTTTTAAAAAACTTTTAAGCATCGCATAGCTTGGGCACCTCGAGTTCGCTATGCCCGTACTCACTATTGTGAGCCCCTGAGGGAAAATTTATTCAGTGATTACCAATATAATATACATGCTATCTTCTCTCCTTCACTTTTTCTATGCATTCCATAATTTCTCATGAAGCACTATGTATTTCTCGGCGCGACTAAGACAATATTCTAAACCATTCCTTTTAAAACCGACTCAGACTTTCAAGATTCCGCCTTAATTAGTACAACGTTGTTCGAAAAAAAAAAAAAAAAACAAGTAAAAGGGCGCCTTAATTGCTATCTCAAGACACCGTAAGTTTCGTAATAACTGAGCGGTGCCAGACTATAAGTAATGAATCCAGATGTCGGCGTTATACCGTCGACGTCGTCGTTACCGAATGTCAGACAGAAAAATGACGGAGCAGTAGCGCGAAAGTTTCAATTTCATTCTGATGTTATCACCTCCCGCTTCTTTGTCCCCACCTTCTTCAATTCATCTCGCCTTTTCTAATGTTCAACCCCATCCCGAACCATTCCATCCTTGCGCCCACGTTTCTTCATTAAATAGCAGGGCACTTAAAACGAAATACCTTCGGTAATTTGCGAGTCAGAGGGAAAAAAGTTTTTGCAGAAAGTTTCAGGGGCTAATATTGTGACAAAAGGGGTGAAGGGTAATCTCTTATTGGGTCAGCTCCGAGTCTCCTCGAAAGTAATATTAATTTGCATCAATCTCTCACAAATGAGACTGATTGCATGATTTCCGACGCGATGGTTAAAAGTAGGAGATGGAGAACTAAGAAATTCTACGAAAAGAAAATTATTACTAATTAATACTTTAACGTTGTACATAAGTTAGAAGGTTTTTTATTCTGATAAGAGGTAATTGAATTTAGAAAGCAAAATCTAAAAAAGATTTTTAAATAATTTTGTATAAATCATATTAGTCTTTATATTATAGTAGTTTATTATATTAATATATAATAAAATAAAACAATAATATTTATAATACAACATTGTATTAGTATAAAATGCACATATTAATATATCAATTAAATTACAATACAAAAAATCAAAAATAATTTTAGCATAAAGATATGACTTTAAAAACTAATGCGACCAAATATAATACCACAATAATTAAAGTTTTACGTGTTTATTATTGCTTCTATTAAAAAAAATATATAAGAGAATATTTATTTTCCGTTTCAATTACTTCATTTTTTATTAATTAGTAATCTATTAATAGTTAATAATAATAATAATTTTTATTTAAATTTCAGTATATTTAATAATTGTTTTTATCTCTCACTCCTACTCTCTTTCTCTTTTACTGATTCTTAACAGTTTCCTAAGCAAGTTAATTTATTACTTATGATAATCATGTTAAACTGAATTCTTGCATTATATGAATTTTCTCCGGAAAATTACGAGTAATAAATCATATTAAAGGGAAAATTACTAACATTAAAATATATATTTTTTCTATACAGTTTCCAATATATAATGCTAATCTATTAAATCGGTATAAAAGTAACACCAAAACTTATTACAATATATATATATATATATATATATATATATATTAATTAATATATTATTAATAAATATATTAACAAAAATTAATAATAGAAAGCATTTTAGAAAATTAATTGACGTAAGTGTATATTTTTGTGTAAATTATAAATAGATATATATTAATAAATTATCGAAAACGGATGATTGGCGATTGGAGAACGCTTTCTCACATTTTCTATAATTTTTAATATTATTTAAAACATTTAATTTCCTTTGTTTAAAAATATTTTGCTAGTTTTCACAAAACATATTTATTAAAGCGAATGTATTATGCACGCATACACAGACAGATGGAGAAAAAAGTCAGAACTAGGTAAATGAACTATCGGCCAGAAAAGTCCGGAAACGGACTTTTTTATTCCCGTACAGTAAAAGCGAGAAAATATGTGCAAAAGTAATTTTGAATTCAGCTTTTACTATCACTTGCAGGCACATATTTGTATCTGTCTCTGACATGTTCGTGTTTTCGAACAGCTATACTAATTGCGTTAAAATTTATTATAATATTATATTGTACATTATATACGATAATTTTGAATTAATTTGTACACATAGACAAAAATTATATATTTTTCAAAAGCGGTTGTAAATTTTTTTATCAATATAGTGTTTTGAACTAATAAAAAGGAAATAAAAACGAGAAATAGAAAAAGAAGCGTATGAGATAAATTTTATATATATATCTTTTTTATATTTTCAAATATTTGATATATTATTAATTTTTCTCCATCAGTTTATACGGACAACATCGCGATATTCATACCAAAATGAAAACCGAAACAAAAAGTTCTTGCTGAGGAAATGTTGAAAATAAATAAGGCTGGACTCGTTCCGCGAGGTCCTGCTCCGCTTTAATTATCGGGATGTGTATCCGTGAACATCCTGCGGTGATGAACGGCGGCCGCGGCTCCATAAAAAGCGCGAGCATTCCAGAATCGTTCTACCGTGAGCCATAATTCATGGATGGGAAAAAACAGTATCGGAAAAAAGTGTGTCAGAAAAAGAGAGAGAGCGAGAGAGAACGAGAGAATAGTTGGGAAAAGTTGTAGTCTCCGCGCCGAAACTGACGATGCGTATTCTCTTTTCGCGGGCACGCGCTATCTTCCTCTCGCAGCGGCACACTATTGTGCTCGAGGGTTGTGCATGCCGCTTTGGTATAACAACGTACATTGTACTTCCGAACAATGCTATCCTTCTGTCAGCTTATACAACCACCCTCCATGCATCCCCACCGTTTTCCGCCTTATCGTGCGGCGAGAGCTCGTCCCTTTTTTCAGGCTTTTTGGGAGAATAAACGGCACCACGATTGACAGTTAAGAAGGGTGCGAATAGCTCGTGTCACTTCAAACAAGAGCCATAAAATTGAAAAATTGATGGGCTAACCTTGAGAGAGTCACTTATTTATTTTTCTTCCTGAGATCATTCTCAAAGAACATTTTTAATTATGACAATTTATTTTTCGTTAATTCGAAATCAGGAGTTTGATATATTGAAAACTGTTTCAAATGTTTGCATTATTGCAGTTTTAATATAATTCGACCATTAGATGTGCAATAGACTAACGAAATTACTTGAATGTAAAATAATGAATTAAGAAAAATGTACCAGAAGGAGGAAGGAAAAATGGCTGTTTCTTCAGCATTAGCGATGCTAAACGACGACGAGTAGCAGCTGCTCACTCAAAAACTCGCACAGCCTGATGATGCCGGATTTCAAAGTCCACTCAGAACGCGCGGCCCTTTAACTCTCGCGAAAGTACTGGGTCAAGATTTTTTTTTCAACCCTACGTA